CAGAAGTTTTTTTTTTAAATACCAACACTATTATTTCTCTATTTTTACAAATGAGAAAAGTAAGGGGGAAAGTGTTAAATAGATTGTGCAAGATCACATAACTAGTATTTGGCATAATCAGAATTTGAACCTGAGCTTGTCTCCAAAGTGCATATGTAACTGCTATGATATTGTTCTTGGACATTTGCCATGCAGAGAGAATAAGTTCAGATCCCTCTCCCATCTTCTCTGACATATGCTATACATACTTGAGGGCTTTAGTTTCTATAGATGGTATCTAACTATCTATTGATTGACCTCTTTTTCCGTCTCTCTTGGAGACTGGGCAGAGAATATATGTCTTTACTCTTCCCTAGAGTGATAGGTAAAATTTTTCTAGTGTATGTAGCATTGAACATTCCTGAGAAGCTTCTGGATTCTTGCAGGGATATGAATCCCAGTTTCCCAAGTTGTCAGGGACCAAATCCAGATCACAGAGACATTAAACCACCAGAGGTCTGGGCCAAAGTCTGACATATCCTTTGACTTCTGAGTGTCTGACATACTACTCATAGTTTAAGGAAAACTTTAATTTCCCTTTTCATTTCTTTTAAACATTTTTAATTGCCAGAGGGCACATACACTTGTCAGACAGAGACACACGCAGAGAGAGAAAGCACCTCCTCAGTGGGGCATGGTTACATGGCAATCCATTCTTCCCTTCTCCTCCATTTCTCCAACTTGTTGGGATTTGGGGCATAGATATGTGTATGCCCAGAGTGTTGTCAAGCTGCTGGACCTAGGATTTGAACTGTGGTTAACTAAGTGGGATCCAGTTCCCTTAGCCATTAGGCTTTGGGGCTAACCATCCTTTTTCATTTTTAATACCTGGAGAGATAACTTTTTCCATTAGATTTTTTTTTATTATTTTCTTTCCTTTATCTTTCTTCTTCCTTTTTAAAAGTTTGATTGTATATCTGAATTTCTGTTTTGGGATATATTTTACCTAACATTTCAATGTCTTTCTAGCCAGATGTTGGGTGCTTTCTCATCATATTTTAAAAATTTTTTTCTTTGTTATTATTATAATTTATACAGTCAATCGCTATACATCATTTAGATTTTAAAGAGACGTTACCCAGCATGATATACACCTCAGTTCATCACATTTGAGAATACTATAGTCATCCTTATCCATAGATAATAAACCATATCTGTGTCCCAAAAATGTCTTACCTGTTTTTTCCCCCAAATTTCCTTTACTACACTCTTCCCCTCCCACGCTTTCCTTCCATTTTGTCTGTAGTGTCCATGGCAGTTTTTAATGTTTATATGTCCTCCAGACGTTCAGTCTCTACCATAGAGTGTGGACAGTTGGTATATGTTAAGTGAAACCATACAATGTCTCTCTTTCATAGCCTGACTTACTTCACTCAGCAATAGATCTTCCATATTTGTCCACTTTCTATCAAATTCCAGAGCCTTGTTGTTTTCTGCAGCTGAATAGTATTCTATGGAGTATATGTGCCACACTTTTTTAATCCATTTAAATGTTTGTGGACATTTCGGTTGGTTCCATGTCTTAGCAATTGTAAATAGTGTTGTAGTAAATATAGTTGTGCAAGCACTTTTCCAAATGAGTGTTCTCCTGTCCTTTGAGTAGATACCCAAGACTAGAATTGCTGGATCATGTCGTAGTTCTATTAGAGGGTCTTTCAGGAACCTCCATATTGTTCTCCACAGTGGCTGGACCAATTTACATTCCCACCAACAATGTAGGAGTGTTCCCCTTTTACCACATCCCCTCTAGCACTTATTTATTTATTTATTTATTTAATCTTCACCACTTTGGCTGGGGTTAGGTGGTATCTCATTGTGATTTTCATCTGCGTCTCCCTTATGATGAGGGATGTTGATCATTTTTTCATATGCTTTTTGGCTGTTTGTATGTCTTCCTTAGAGTTGTTTATTTAGCTCATTTTCCCAACTTTTAATTGGGTTACTCATTTTCTTCTGGGTAAACTGCTTGAGTTCCGTGCGTATTCTGAGTCCCTTTTCTGAGGCGCAGTTAACAACAATTCTTTCCCATTTCGAGAGTTGTCGATTCACACTACTAATTATGATATCCTTTGTTGTGCAGAAAGTTCTTAATCTGATGCCATCCCACCTGTCTGTTTTGAGGATGATTGCCTGTGCCGCTTTCTCATCATATTAAGTCACCCTTTCTGGGGAAACCTTCACACTTAAATAAGGAAAATACTTTCTCAAAATAAATTAAAATCAGAACAAAGAGGTCTAAAAAGAAAAAGAGAAAGTATACATGTTAAATGATGTTAAGACATGAAACTAGTAAAATATATTTAGTCTAAATAACTACCAATGTTGTACCTACTAATTTTAATACAAATGTAAGAAAGGAAGAGTGAAATTTGTTACTAAAATAGACTATAAAGAGTATCAAACAACTATAATAACAACAGACTCAATTAAAAACCTGAACTATATTTCAGGTGATTTAAAAGAAACTTTAAATTTTTATTCTATTATTAGTACAGAATTTAAAATGTTAATAGTATTTATGACCTTCCCTTCTTTCCTATGAGACCTTTAGAATACTTTTTATTACCTTTGTGTTTGCCAATTTTCAATGTGAAAGACACGTAATAATATTTTGCTGTTGACTATTTTAAAAAATAGACCTAGTTGCCAAGTCGAAAAACAGTGTATATATATATATATATATATATATATATTATTTTTTTGAGAGGTTTTTGCTATAAGGTGTCCAAGCTTGCCAGAAAGACAGAGGAAGACAGAAAGACAGAAAGCAAGAAATCACCCCCTCGGGGGGATGGCCACACCGCAATCCCTTCTCCTCTATTCTCCTCTCAGGATCTTGGGCAGGCATGCATACGCGCCCAGTGTGAGTTTAAGCCACCGGGTCTAGGACTCTAACCATGGTCGACTACATGGGAGTCCTGCGACATAGCCATTATGCTAACTGCTGGTCCCAGAAGAGAGTATATATTGGCTCGTCAGAAAAGTCATAAAGTATTTTTCTATGCAAAAATGTGTCATGACTTTTCCGACCACCTTCTCTCTATATTATAAGCACATAGTCTCATGGTCTTAACTGTTGTTTATAAATTATCCCCCTTTACTCTGGAACATTTCTCACTTTATGATTATTAACATCAGTGGATTGAGAGCCATGTCAAATATTGGGGATTTCTCAATTTATGGACTTTGGTTTTCTGTTTTGTTGTTTACTGTGACAGGTCAAGAAAAGTTTGCAATTCGTTACAGAGAGAGATAGACTATGCAATGAGAATTGAATACATTTAATATTTTTCTGGTCTTCATACATAAAATAATCTGCATTTCTTTTTAGCCTTTGGCAATCCACTTAGTTTGTTCATGTGTCTTATGAAATACTGCATCCACTATGAACAGCGTGTAGAAAGGAATTTGTTCTTAATTCTTTATTTGTTTATCCTGGGAGTTTCTCCAAGGCAGACTATGGATTGCTTAACTTTGTTAGGGAAAAAATTCTGCTCTAGCTTGTTCTGCCTTACTTAGTCTGATTCAGTCAAATATATAATTGGCAGTTGTGTTTAATCATCAGTAGTGAAAAAAATAAATATTTTCATACAAATTTGATTTTTTTGTTAATTATTATTTTTACTCTTGTTCCTTCCTCTATCTTGTCTCATCATATCTGATGGACAAGTTCCGTTTCGCTTGTTAATTTCCCTCCTCTGGAGTTGAAAGGCCAAGTGAACAAACATAGTGTTTGCTTTATTTCCAACCAACCACGGAACAGTTATTTCTCTGCAGAATAATTGGCTTGTAGGAAGAAAGAAGCAGAAAACAAAACGCGTTCATCATGTGCGACGTGGTCTGACAGCGTCCTTTTCAGAAACCAGCCTGAGATAAGAACTGCTAGCAGCTGACTCTTACTTAAAGGATAAATGAAGAAGCAGCAGTAAAGAAGTTGTAGTTGTTGCTTTTCACAAGTAGGGAGCTGTAGTTTGACAGTGTTTCTAGAATACTTTTTCTAATTTTCCAGACAGTAAGTAAAATTCTATTTTGTTATGTTGTGCCAGATATGTGGTAAAAACTGCTAAAATCCATCTGTTTTGCAGATGATTCCAAATACTTAACCATATCTTATATTAAAAACCTGATGACTAAAATTTTCTTTTTACCCAGACAACTTTTATTGTGTACATTATAAAGTAGAATATATATATAAAAATTTTAAAAATAACTTCTATACTAGCTTAAAATAAGCTGAATATTTTGATATGTAAATTTGACACTTTAATTTTCAGTTTACGGAAACTGAAAAAGTTGTTTCTGTTTATTTGCAAATGTTTGGGCAAAATTACTTTCTCATATGATTTATTTCTTTTTCCTTTGATAAAAAGTAATTTTTGTAGTTTGTCTTTTGAGTTATGCAGGGACTTTCGAATTCAGAAAATTAAGAGAAAATTGCTTTATTCTTTCTGTGTCTCCGAATCTAGTTTCAAGTAATTTGAACCTGGATTGTTATCCTATAACCTAACTCTTTTGATTAGAAGTTGTTCAATTCAATTTGAAGGTAAAACTAAAAGAAAATATTTCTTCAATGTTGTAGCTAACCAACATAATTTATTATTTGAATGAATTTTAGTAATAATAATTTTGATGTTAATTTGACCAGCTCTGAGATTTCTATTTAAATGCAAAATGTGAGGAAAGACTATTAATGGGATAAAATTAATTTAATTATTAATATAATTGAATTTTTATTATATGAGGCCAAATATATCAAGTTATCTGTACAGCTTCTGAACTCTTACTATATAGCTCTTGCATTGTAATACTGTTATTGTAAAATTTTGATAGTAGTCACTTTACCTCCCCACAATCACCTACACTCCAAATAGTTTAAACTGAATATATTTGAAATGAAATTTTATAGTCATGGATTATCAAACGACTATTTAAAAATCTATTTTTATAGTTCTTAAAAGTAGTAAATATTTTTCCTAAATATATGATGGCTTTATTACACTTATTTTTTTCTAGTTTGTGTTCCATTATTTGTACTTTCTCAGTGTTTGTTTGAAGAATTGGCTAAATGAATATAAAACATAAAAATGTGTATCAGCAAACCCAAGCACTTCTATACAAGAATTTTCGTAAGAAATGGAGAATGAAAAGAGAAAGCTTGTTGGTATGTTTTAAAGTTTGCTTCATTCACAGTTAGCACTCTCATTTCATTTTCTAATGATTATTTTATGTTAAATATTAATTAGCAGAGCAGATTTTTTAAATTTAAGATTGTCTTTAGTTGCATCCATTGAACCAAGAAACTTACAACTATTCCTGAAGAAAAAATTGTAAGGATTAAAAGTATTACATATATATATATATATTTTTTTTTTTGAGAGGTTTTTGCTATAGGGCACGTGTGCTCACCAAAAAGACAGAGAGAGAAAGAGAGACAAAAAGTGAGAAATCGCCCCCCAGGGGGGATGGCCACATCACAATTCTTTCTCCTCCATTCTCCTCTCAGGCTCTTGGGCACACACACACACGTGCCCCGGCATGAGTTTAAGACACCAGGTCTGGGACTTGAACCGCAGTTGACTATGTGGGAGTACAGCCATTAAGCCAACCGCTGGCCCCATATTACTCATATTTTTAAAAAAGAGAGAGGTGAGAATTTAATTGTATGGTAAAATAAAGCTGTTATCACATGTTATACAATTAGAGAAAGAAATCATAAAAATTTTGCCTAGAAGAAATTGAAAAATTTTCATTTATGTACTTATTTTTAAGGCCATGAATTTTGTACACAAAGATTATTTCCAATTATAACTAAGTAACACCATCATTGGGATCAGGCAGGAAGACCAACTGCATGTGACTAGCCCAAGTCTTGGTGGCTTAACACAACAAAAGTTTATTTTTCATTGTTTTCACAGTCTAAAAAAGGTTGGCAGTAGAAGTAAGGTTGGTTAGATTCATAAAGGACTTTTCTCTACACAGTCATTCAGTGACCCAGGCTTTATCTAGAGACAGTGCCATCTCTTTAGGTCATAGAGACCTTCACTGGATCATCTATATCCTGTCAGAAAATCAGGAAAAGAAGGATGGAGACTTAAGGAATATAGAGAGGGAATTAAAAATTAAATTGTGCCAGGGTCCATAATCAGGACAATCCAGGCCTGGGAGTGGTATATATTATTTCTATCTATGTTCCACTGGCCAGAACTCAGTCTTTTTGTCCTACGTAATTTCCAGAGGTTATAAATATAGTATGGCATTGTGCCAAGGAGGAAGAGATTATTGATCTCAGTGAACCACTAGACTTCTACCACTCAGTTTCTTTTCATCTTCTTTACTTTTCAATACAGAGATATGATAACTGTCAGAAATATTGCTGTTTGCCACCACGAAATCTCATTTGAGATACCCTGCATCTTCTTGACTCTAGAGTTAATTGCCCATGCATATAGAGATTGTTAGTTTCTATATTGGTAACATTATTGTTAGTTTCTGTAGTGCTAAGTTCATGATTTAATGCAAAAGTTCAGTTCTGGTGTTAGAGAACGATACATGAATCTTCTATCTTAGTATTTAACTTCCATTGAGTTCTCTTTGCGCTGAAGATATGGCAAAATATGGCAAAATTCATATTTGTCTTCAATAGTTCTTTGATTTACCTGAGTTCTTTACATGAACACCACCTACATCTGTTATTTTAAAAAATATGTTACAGGAGTGGAGCTTTCCAGTACTTCTAGGACTGTATATGGGTCTGTCTTCATATTTCACAGAAAATGTCCAGCTTTCTGAATTGCCTCCTCTGGATCTCGGAAGGGTAGATAAATTGAATAGGTCTACCATAGTTGTGTACACACCAGTTTCTACTACAACCCAGCAGATAATGAATAAAACAGCACTCGCTCCCATTTTGAAAGGTAGGTGCACTAATTGAAAAAAGAATTACTGATAATTAGTTATACATTTTCAGTAAAATATATACATATTAATTTGAAGATACAGTGATACACTATGTTCATAATTTAAGTATCACAATTCCAATAGAAGCCCACATGTCTACCGGAATATAGCTAACCTCTATATTCATAACTTCATATTTGCAGAACAGTGTGTAGGAGGAATATAGCCATTAATGAATATGTGTCTTTAACATGGAAATACAATGATGAAGACTTATTAGTTCATAAAAGAAACTGAGTCAGGCCAGCCAGTGCCATGGTGGTTAAAGTGGTTGGATACTACATGCCGACTGTACAGTTTAAGTCCTGGACCTGGAAGCTTGAAAAATATGTGGGTGTATATGCCTACTTGCCCAAAAGTTGGAGAAAAGAATGGAAAAGGAATTGCAGCATGGCCATACCTCCTAAGGAGTGCTTTCCCACTTTCTGTCTCTCTCTCCAGCAAGCACACATGATCTCTAAGAAATAAAAATTTTAAAAAAGATAAAGAAAGATACTAGGTCATGGTTATTGAGTAACAGTTTTATAACAATGAAAAGTAAAGATGGATTAGTTGAAGATCATTCTCTTCTGCATGTGGTATAATTTGTGGACATCTTTGAAAGTCTTCATTATAAATAGTCATTACGTAACTGATATTTTAAAAATTGTGTTTCCATCAATGGACAAGTTAGGGATAGTCTGGCTATTTATTCCTTAATCCTAGATAACTAGCAAGTGAAATTTCTGGCTATTAAAAATAGAGTTGCCATGTTATTTTAGTTTCTGCATAAGGCATATGTCACACAAGTTGTCTTTGCTTCAGTAAATATGAAATCTAGGAGCTCCAATAGTAACTGCAACAATTACCTATGATTTTTGTACCCCAATTCTCTTATGCAAATTTATTTATTTATTATGTACCTAAATATCACTTTGATGCTTGTCATTATTAAGAGAAAACGTTCCATTTTCATGCATGTCTTCTGATTCTAGAATCTAAGGTGTTTTAGGACAAGTTTGATTTTAATGGAAATTGATGTTATTTAAATCCAATGAAAAAATATAGCGTGACACAGTTAAAGATCACATTTCATTTTGGTGAAACTCTATAACAATTTCCTTTGTCTATTTTTTACCTTGTAATTCACAGGAAAAAAAGTCATTGGAGTATCAAACGAAGAAAACATGGATGAAATACTTCTATATGAGTTTCCATATGCTGTGGGAGTCATCTTTAATGACGCTTTCTTTTATAAATTAAAATTTATTCAGGGATATTACATTCCATTTTTGGAAAAAGAAGATTTTTCAGGTGACTTTTCATAAAAAATATCCCAGATATATTTTTCATGTTTTCACATAAGGAACAGGTAGGAACAGGTAACAAAGACACTTTGAAAGGCATATGATAAAACAGAGACTAACATTTATTTTTTAGTTTTAGTTTTTGCTACGGGTTGTGTGCATGTTCCAGAGAGAGAGAGAAAGGGAAAGTGAGAAATGACTTCTCCCAGGGGAGATGGCCATGCCACAATCCCTTCTCTTCAAGCCTCCTCTCGGGATTTTGGGCATGCACACACATGTGTCTGGCATGATTTTCATGCCGCCAGGTCTGGGACTCAAACCATATGGAATCTAGTGCCTTAACCTCTATGCTGCCTGCTGGCTTGAGATTAATATCTTATTGCTGAATTTATTCAAAGGTTAATTGTGTATTCCCATACAAGGATAGGCTAGCAGTTAAGGTGGGGGGGCTAGATCCCACATGGCCGAGCATGGTTCAGATCCTGGACCTGGTGGCATGTACTTGTGTATCCAAAATCCCAGTAGGATGATGAAATGGAGGAAATGGAGGACAAGAAATTACAGTGTGACCATGCCCTATTGCAGGTGCTTTCTCTCTTGGGTAAGCCCACATACCCTCTAGTAATTAAAGAAAATTGTATGAGACCAGCACATGTTGTAATGGTTATGTTGTTGAATTCCCACATGACTGACTATGGTTTGAGTCCTAGATCCGGAGGCTTGAAACTCAAGCTAGGCATGTCCGTGTTTGTGCCCCAAATCCCAAGAAGAAAATGGAGGAAAAGGGAATGTGGTGTGGCCAATCCCACTTCCCCCTGGCCAGTGATTTCTCACGTTCTGTCTCTCTGGCGAGTGCAGAGAGACAAAAATCTCTATTAAAAAAAAAAGAAAGAAAGAAAACTGTAGAGTAATCAACAAATGTGTGTTGAGCTTAAAGGTATATGTTTCAAAGAGTGTAGGAGTAATGAAGACTGACAGGTCCCAGTCTTTGGTGAAATTCCAGCTTAGCGGAAAAGACATTCATTGAGCAATTAGTGACAAATGCAAGGAAAATTACTCAGAAAGACTTAGTAAACTGCGGGTTTACAAATGTCCCACCTGGTAAAGTGATGTTTAAACTAAGACCAGAAGAAATGGCAGGTGTGAAATGTATTTCAAATAAAAGAAAGGCAAGTGTGGAGGTCCTGAGGTAAGAAGGGGCATTAGTTAGTAGAGTTGGAAGAAGAAGGGAATAATTGAAATGTGATGAGAGAATGAAGCTGAGCTTTCTCAGCCAGAGTGATGACTAGCCATCGAGGTACTTTTAGCAGGGCAAAGATGTGATCAAGTTACAAGTTATCAAGGGAGATACAGTCCAGAGAATGGAATTCAGAGGTATCAGGGAGAATACAGTGAAACCTACTGATCCAGAGGTGACTTAGACTATAGTGGGAGCTGCTGAGAAGGAGAAAAGCCAAAGGACCAGAGAACCCTTCAGCAAGTAGAATCCATATGACTAGTGAAATTCTTTTCCTTTCATTCACTGTGTGCCTACTATGTGCTCTGCACTATTTTTTTTTGTTTGTTTGTTTTGTTTTGTTTTTGTTTGTTTGTTTTTTGTCCTAGGGGCTGAAATGAACAAAATGGAGAGTCTGATTGCAGGAATCTTTTTAATCAAGGACTGGGAAGTGGGGAAAAAAAAAAAAAAACACATGCTCAGTGAAGCAAAATAAAACTAGGGTTAGAAAATAGAGATGAGTAGAGCTCAAGAGCTAGGGAAGTCCTGTATAACGAGGTTATTTTTCAGAGGAAACCTGAGTGAACAGAAGGAGGGAGCCATGTATACATTCAGATGGAGAGCATTTAAACCCAACAAAAGTTCTAGCACTGGGATGTCTTTGGCATTTTGAGGTAAAACAAAGAGTGCAGTATGGCTGGAGCAATGTATTTGCTTTCATCTTCTTCATATTTTCTAAGATTTGTTTTTTTAATTGTCAGAGAGTGTATGTGCTCACTAGAGGAGGGTGAGCAGGGGGAATCACACATAGGGCATTCTCAAGTTGCAATCCCTTTGCCTCTAGTTTCCCAACCTGTCAGGTTTGGGGATATGCACACACATGCACCTGGCATGTTTTTCAGTCTATCAGAGCTGGGTTTCATACTTCAGTTGACCATATGGAATATGGCTCTCTTAACCACTAGGCAATGGGTCCAGCCCTATTTTCTAAGACTTCCTGAACTTGCTGTGATCTGCATGAATAAAATTGCCTTGTTGGGGGACAACAGGTAGAGTGCTGGTTGGGGTCCTGAACTCCCACATGGCCAACTATGGTTTGAGTCCTGGACCTGACAACTTGCTTTCTTGCTTTCTTTTTCTCTCTGTCTCTCTCTGGTGAATGCATGTGCCCTATAGCAAATTAAAAAATAATAATGATAATAAAAATAGAGTTAAATAAAGTAATGAAAAATTACCTTATTAAGAAACTTCCTTTCTTTGGTTTCTTTTTCTATGTGGTTTAAAGTTCTGACTGGTAGAGTCCCTCTGGATTATTTTCTCTTGGATTCTTTTTCGTATTCTCCAAATCCCCATGTTCCATATTGATTATGTTTTCTTCTGTGCTTTCAGCTCATTGCCAATTTAAATATGGTGATATTATGTGTTCATTGACCAGATACTGGAATAGAGGATTTGTGACTTTACAAACTGCCATTAATGCTGCTATTATAGAAGTAAGTGCTTCATTGAAAAGTTCTAATCATTAATTTAAACCAATTACAGAGACCTCAAGATTTTGATGTAAGATGGCTTAGTCCATTAATGTTGCTATAATAAGATATCTCAAACTGGGTAATTTATAAAGAATAAAAATTTATTTTTCATAGTCCTGGAGGCCAGGAAGTACAAGCTTGAAGTGCTACAGATATAGAGTCCTGTGAAAGATCTTTTCTCATAGATGGCACCATGTGGTGTCCTCACGTGATAGAAGAGCAGAAGGGTAGAAAGGGCATCAGCTGTTTCATTGGAACCCTTTTATAAGGCACCAATCTATTAGTCATTGGGGGTTGGGGAGGAGGTCCTGCGTGACTTAATCACTTTTTTTTTTTTTTGGAGAGATTTTCGCTATAGGGCGCATGCACTCGCCAGACAGACAGAGAGAGACATAGAGACAGAAAGCGAGAAATCACCCCCAGGGGTGATGGTCATGCTGCAATTCCTTCTCCTCCATTCTCCTCTCGGGATCTTGGGCATGCACGCACATGCGCCCGGCATGAGCTTTAAGCCACCGGGTCCGGGACGCGAACCACGGTCGACTACGTGGGAGTCCAGCAACATAGCCATTATGCTAACTGCTGGTTCCCACTTAATCACTTCTCAGATGGCCCCACTTCCCAATACTAGTGCAACAGGGATTAAGTTTCAACATGAATTTGGAGGGGACACATTCAAGCTCAGGTTTTCATATGTTTATATAGTAAATCATGTATTTAGACAAAGAAAAAACTGCTTATTTATTTTTAAACTTTATTTTTATTTTTGCCATAGAATGTGTGTGCTCACCAGAGAAAGACAGAAAGAGGGAAAGTGAGAAATCACCCCCTCCCCCCTGTGGGGATGACCACGCCATCATCCCTTCTTCTCCATTCATCTCTTGGGATTTGGGGCACATATGCACATGCACCTGGTGTGTTTCAACCACCAGGTCTGGGACTCAAACTGCAGTTGGCCATGTGGGAGTCCAGTGCCTTAACCACCACAACACCTGCTGTCCTGTATTTTAAAAAAATTTTATTTATTTAATTTTATTTATTATTATTATTTTTAAAGTTTGCTGTAGGGCACTTGTGCTCACCAGAGAGAGACAGAGAGAGAGAGAGAGAGGGAGAGAGAGAGAGAGAAGAAAAGTGAGACAGCAAGACCACCAAGTCCAGGACTTGAACTGTGGACGGCCATGCGGGAGTCCAGTACCTTAACCACCACACCACCTGCTGGCCCTGGCCCCTATTTTTAAACTTTTAATTTCTAAGTGGTTAGAAGAAAGTTGAAAAACAAATGTAAGGGAAAGCCTGTTTTCCTTTCGTTCAGCATGTTCTAATGGTACACCTCATACAAGTACAGTAAAATATTTCAGTCTGGAAGTTGACATTAATCCAACACACAGCACTTATTCCGATTTACCAGTTTCTGACTTTAAATCATGTTTAAGTAATGTTTGTCAAATAATGTTTGTCTAAATAAGGTTTGTTGGTCAAAACTCTTCTTTAGATCACAACAAATCACTCTGTGATGGAGAAGTTAATGTCAGTTACTGCCACAAATATGAAGACGTTACCTTTTCTTTCTAAAGCACGTTTTCAAAATGAGATGTTTATTTTATACAGCATGCTGTATTTCTCTTCATTTATATATTTTTTATCACTCAATGTTACAAAAGAGAGAAAACAGTATAAAGATTTTATGAAAATGATGGGCCTACAGGATTCAGCATTCTGGTGAGTGACTAATTCAAGTAGTACAAATTAATAAAGAGAGCAATTAAGCTGTGAAAAATATTGTTTCAGAACATCATAATGTAAATTTCATCTATTGATTACTTGCTTTATTTAGTCTTCTTTCTCCCCCATTTTCTATTCAACATGATGACTATCCTTTGCTGAGCAGTTTTTCTGTGCTACTCATATCTTAAGCTAACCTTGTGATAGAGGTACTATTACCCAGTTAGTGAACAAGGAAAATTATGGTCAAAGAGAAGAGATTCGTCCAATGTCAGACAGGTGGTATTCTGGAGCTGGGGCTCTGACCCATGTGGTCTGATGGCAGCTCTCCTGCGTGGTCTGCCCACAATTACCAGGTGATTTCTCCTGGCTTACTGCTGTTCAAGTGGCTGGCCTTTTCATACTCAGGCTCTTGGTCATATATTTTCTGAGCAACTAAATACTGTACATCGGAGTTAAAAGAGGTAACCTACATAATGTGCCCAGGACATACAATTGATCAGCTAGAATTCAAAAAACGTTTAATGGCTCTCTATTAAGTGTCAAATTCTCATTCCTGTAACATTCTTTTTTAGAGAGTTTTTTTGATGCCACAATCCACCTACAGCTTTACCGAGCCCCAGATCCATGGATGCATGTGTGCTCTGTAACATTCAGGGAGGTCTCCGGGTAACAACCCCAAACTTCCCACTGGGCACACAGAGCATTCTGTTTTGCTGCCACACTACATTTAAGCTCCCATATATTGATAGTTATATCTTGCCCTATATCACAAATAATGTAAGGTGCATTTGACTTATGTATGTGGGTACATATAGTTACACACCGCATATCAGGAGACCACATCTACAACAGTGGTCCCCTAAAGAGCAGATAGGCTATATCATCTAGGTTTATGTAAACACACTCTACGCTGGTCACACAATGAGGAAAGTGACCCATGACTATATATACATATGCACACACACATGTACGTCTGTATCTATGTATCTACTTGTATCATATTAGAAACAAATAATTGAGGAGTAGAAACACAGGCATATCAAAATAATAAACAGGTAAGATTAGCTGATAGAAATGCAAATCATACTAGCACTAGTCTCCCAAGAGGCCAAAAAAGAAATGTTTGTAATGCTATCACTGACAAATCAATAATATCTAGAAAACAGAAAAAAATCATCTGTTTATTTTATACCAAAAGAAATGTAGCATTTTTTTGTATTTGGTCCTGGAAGATATTTCTCTGTATACTTCCCATATCGACAAAATACTTTTATAGATGTGAAACTACCTGGAATGGATGAGGAATTATTTCTTCAATAGTCTTTTTAAGCCACCTGTTCCCTGAAATGCAATTATGGTCTATAAAATATTTACATTTTTATAAATGTGTTTTATTAACAGAACAAATTTTAATCCTAATGTATATGTATTATAAAATATAAAAAGAGGAACTGAAGCCTTTAAAAAAGAGAAAGGGGAATAGATTTTACAGTGGTACTTTGGGAAATACAAAGGGACGGACATAGAGTCACCCACTGAGTCTATTAGGAGTGAAAAGAGAGGGAGTCCCATAACAGGGGTTGTCAGCCCAGGGCAAGTCCCTGCAGTAATCTGATATCAGAGAGGCACAAAAAACATCAGGAAGGTATTGGACATTTGAATGTGTATTCATTCTCAAGATAAGTGATCTTTAGTATGCATGCAACCTAATACTTTGCAAAGTGAATTGATATATATCCCTTAAAACTAGGAAGTTCTGGTGGAGTGCATGAGCCTTATAGCAAAAAAAAAAAAAAAAAAAAAAAATCTAAAAAAACAAAAACCAAAAACTAGGAAGAAAAAAGATTCTGAAATGTTTCTGCTAACTGTAGCTTGTCTATTGGAAATACATTTTATGGCATTTTTTTCTAATATAATAAGTGTAAAATATAATCAGTATTATTCTTTAAGTACAATGTCCGGATTGCTTTTTTTTTTATTGTCATAATCTTTTATTATGTATCAAATTGTCTTCAATATAAGTTACAACCTGATTAAACTTGATAGACATTTTTATCTATTTAAAAACAAAAATATTCTCTTTATGTCATAAAACTTATAGAAAAAAAAAAAAAAAAAAAAAAAAATCTAAAAAAACAAAAACCAAAAACTAGGAAGAAAAAAGATTCTGAAATGTTTCTGCTAACTGTAGCTTGTCTATTGGAAATACATTTTATGGCATTTTTTTCTAATATAATAAGTGTAAAATATAATCAGTATTATTCTTTAAGTACAATGTCCGGATTGCTTTTTTTTTTATTGTCATAATCTTTTATTATGTATCAAATTGTCTTCAATATAAGTTACAACCTGATTAAACTTGATAGACATTTTTATCTATTTAAAAACAAAAATATTCTCTTTATGTACAATATGTCTAGAGCCTAGCAAATATAGTACCTTTCATGGCAGGATTTCTGCTTAACATAACAAGCAAAAATAAACAACCAAATAAAATATATAAACTAAAACAAACCAACCCCCCCATTCAACTACAAATATCAATGTTGAGTGAAGCATTAAAAAGACAAACATAAGGTAACTTTATTCTGGTTTAGAAATGTGGAATGAATACTAAAGTTAATGGCAAAAAAGAGGGCTTTTATAGGTTTATTAGCATCTCCTCCCCACCCCACCCTGTAACTGGTTCCTTCTTAATTTCTTTCGTTTATAATTCTGCCCTGTGGTTTTCCGGTTCCTACCTAAAGTAGTTCCCCTCTACTCTCAGGAATTGTGTTCTGCAGAATGCGGTGTACTTTTCCAAAATGCTGACACCTCTAACACAGGCTGAATTATGGTAACTGTGAAATTCAAAAGGAAGTTAAATTCAGCGTGAACATGTTATAGAGAGAAATATGGACACAAGGTCCTGGTTTTAATACTGTTGCGATAGCCCTCAACTGTCGAATTCTTGTTTAACCAGGCAATTTAGGAAGAGGAAAGAGCTCTGGACAGAGTCTGCTGCTTCCTCAGAGCATTGTTACTGATTCTTTGTGTGACCTTGGATAAATCCGTTAACTAATAGTAGGGATTCCAATTTTCATATCTGTAAAATGAGAAGATTAGACTAAAACACTCCATAGGCTTGTTAGAGCCAAGATTAAATATTTTTTTCTTAATAACCACTTCATAAAAATGTGAACACTAGCACATCTAAAGTAAAAGTGTGAAAATCTAAAGGTGTTCTTCAATTTATGACAGTTGAATAAAGAAACTATGAGCAGGAATAGGAAGGATAGAATAGGTTTAATGAAGTTATGAAATTTCAATTTTCTATTACCAAGGGGAGTGGAGGTATTGCCTACTGAGATCCTCAAGAATGGTTAGATTATCATCTGCCCACGATGCTTGCAGAATTCCTTATGAGTGATCAATAACCAAGTTTCCCTCCAATTCTTCAGTAAGGATGGTTTGGTAATATCTAATAAAGCTGAAGACAAAATTCTCAGAGACATTCTTGTACATTTCCCCAGAAAAGACAAGTACAAGCATGTTCTTGGTGATACTGTAATAGAAAAACCAAAATGAACAACCTAACATACACATGGGCAGAACATTGAGATGTATTCATACAATGAAATATTCTCCGGCAGTATTTGATATTGTTAATGTTGATGATAGAGGCAATTTGCAGAATAAAACATGTGGTATGATACATTTTGTACACCGTTCCTATTATTTATAAATGCATGCAAACAGAGCTGAAGTCAAACCAGTAGACACCAGCATGGGCATGCCCGTTTATAGCCACTTAGTGGTGTGGCATCCCCTTCCATTGGTTAGTGCCCGTACCCATGTTCATATGTTCAGTATCTATCATACCTGTATGCATTTATGGTAAAAGCAGTCATATGCATGGGAATTATAGAATTATTAGGAAAGTGCTTACAAAAGTGGTTACCTTTGGGAAAGGAAGGAGGAGAATCATGATCAGGAAAGGGATGCACAGGGGACTTCTGCCATATTATTAATATTATAGTTATTAATTCAGGTGGCAGGTACAGGGTAACCTTCACATTACACATGTGCCCTGACTTACAATGTGGTTATGTCCTGATAAACCCACTGTAGAGCTGAAAAATCCTAAATTGAACTATCTTAAGATAAGTGCTGCTCTGTATTTTTCCAATGCCTTTGTTAATTTAATTTAATTTTATTATTTTAGAGAATTTTATTTTACTATAGGGCACTATATGTGTTTACCAGAGAGAGACAGAGAATGAGAAGTCACCTTCCAGGGAGGATGGCCACACAACAATTCCCTCTCCTCTATTTTCTCCTCAAGATTATGGACACACATATACCTATACCCAGAGAGTTTCCAGTCTCAGGTCTGGGACTTGAACTACGGTTGGCCATGTGGAAGTCCAGTGATGTAACCATTGCAGCATCTGCTGGTTCCCACGTTTATAGATTTTAAATATTTCATAATAAAGTTGGAATAATTCAAATATCTTTTTGTCTTTGTTTAGGCTCTCCTGGGGTTTAATCTATGCTGGCTTCATCTTCATTATTTCCATATTCATTACAATTATCATCATGTCCACTCAAATCATAGTCATGACTGGCTTCATGGTTATATTTACACTCTTTTTCTTATATGGCCTATCTCTGGTAAGAGCATACATTTATTATCACTTTCTCTGCTTTATCTCTTAGCTATATGGCGCAAATACTGATTCCCCAGTAGGTCACTATAATCATTTCTGTGTCTGTATGTTTGCTTGAAAGTCTCTATGGATGTGAGAAAATGTTGTGACCAAAATAAAATTGGACCTCTTTTGCGTAAAGGTTAGTGAAATGATCTATCAAGATGAAATGAATGAAATGATGCATGAATTAATGCATCAAAAAGAATTAATGAAATAATGCACCCAAAAGAAAAAAAATGAGCTCTAAAAATATCAAAGACTTTTCTAGTTGATTATTGAAGATGTTATTTAGGGACAGATCCACCTTTTTTCCCCTGAGTCCCTTACCACATGGTAGCCCCCTCAATATCTCTTCTAATATTCTACTTTTCCCTGACTTCCCCTTTCACTCTCCTTTTCCTTCCATGAACAAGAGCCTCTAATTTCTTCCACCTTCCAGGATGCTTTCTGTGGAAATTTTGTGGACATTCTCTCTTGGTACATGAACTTAGCTTTCTTCATGTTTCTCAAGTCTATATTTCTCCGTTGTCCTTGGTTCTTTGTCTAACTTCCCCTGACTATTTCTTCAGCCACAATAGCCCAACATTTGAGAAGGCAAATAGAACTCCTTTTTTTTTTTTAAAGAGAGAGATATTTTTGCTATAGGGTGTGTTGCTATAGGGTGTGTGTACTTGCTGTAGAGACAGAGAGAAACAGAGAGGCAGAAAGCAAAAAATATCCTCCTCTCCCCCCTGGAGAAGGCCATGCCACATCCCTTCTCCTCAATTCTCCTCTCGGGACTTTGGGCACACATACCTGCCTGGGTGAGTTTTAAGCTGCTGGGTCTGGGACTTGAGCCATTGTGACCTACCTGTGAGTCCAGCGACGTAACCATTACGCCATCTGCTGGTCCCTATGGCTCCTCATTGAAAAGGGGTTGAGGGTCAGGCAGGTGGCTTGATTAACAGTGCTGGACTCCCACATGAACGTTGGAGTTCTGGACCTAGTGGCTTGTTTTCTCACTTTCCCTCTCATTCTGTCCCTCTCTGGTCAAATTTAAATAAATAAATAATACATAACAGATAAAGTTCGATAAAATAATTCTTAAAAAAATAAAAAGGAGTTAAGAGAAGGACAGAATCATTATTAGACTTTAATATTTTTATCACTTTCTCTCACTGATAAATATGTTATAATAAAATATTTTCATTTTTACATTGCTGTTGGTTATTCTCTGTGAACTAAATGTATTTCCGTAACAGCTAAATGTCCTCTCTGTCTTGCAGATAGCTTTAACATTCCTGATGAGTGTCTTGCTAAAGAAAGCTGGCCTCACCAATTTGGTTGTGTTTCTCCTTATCTTCTTTTGGGGGTGCATGGGATTTACTGCATTTTATAAACAACTTCCTTCATCTCTGGAGTGGATTTTGAGTATTTGCAGCCCCTTTGCCTTTACTGCTGGAATGACTCAGGTAAGAGCATAGTCCATGGATTTTAAACTTTTTAAAAATATATTTATTTAATTATATTTATCATCATTATTATTATTTTAAAATTTGCTATAGGGCATGTGTGTTCACCAGAGAGGGAGACAGAGAAAGACAGAAAGAAGAAAAGTGAGAAAGCAAGCTGCCTGGGGACCAGCAGTTAGCATAATGGCTAGTTGCTGGTTTCCCATGTAGTCGACCGTGGTTCGAGTCCCGGGCCCAGCAGCTTAAACTCATGCAGGGCGCATGTGCGTGCATGCTCAAGATCTCAAGGGGAGTGGAGGAGAAGGGATTGTGGCGTGACCACTCCCCTGGGGGGTGATTCCTCACTTTCTGTCTCTCTGTCTCTCTCTGATTTTCTGGCACACACACACTCCCTATAGCAAAATCCTCTACCTCAAAAATAAAAAGCAAGCTGCCTGGTCCAGGACTTAAACCATGGTCAGCCATGTGAGAGTCCAGCATTCCAGCTACCATGCCACTTGATGGCTCAATCTTTATTAAACTTTTCAAAGAATTGGTATTCCATGACCTTTCGTAATCCACACTATCTCAAATTTTTATTCTAAGCAATTATTTTGCTTTAAAGGTAAATCTGAAAATATTATTACATTGTAGAAAAATTGTCATCTCACACAAAACAAATGAAAAAGTTCTAGATTTTTCACCTCTCAAATATATTCTTGTTCTGAAGTTATTTCCTTCTAGTTTTAAAAAGAAATACAAATATTTCCATTTATTTTCACTTTACCTAATGGAAGCATTTTGTTGGTTTGTTAATATTTGTTGTGTAAACCTATTTTTAAAAATCTTATTATTTATTTATTTATTTAAAATTCTGACTCACATGTGAAACACTTTCAAACCATACATATACAATTTAACAAGTAATAATTTTTCCTGCCTCACCTCTTAAGTCATAACTTCTAGTACAATATTGAATAGAACTGCAGGCAAAGGAAAAGCTTTCAACATTTTGCTATTAAGCATGTTGGTATTGGTCTTTTTCTGTGTAAAATCTTTTTTTTTTTTTTAATTGTCATACGGGGTATACCTGCACCAGAGAGAAGGTCATGCTGCAATCCCTTCTCTTCCATTTCGCCCTCCTGTGGGGATTCTGGGCATGTACACAGACACACGCCTGGCATATTTTCATGCTACCAGGGCTAGAATGCTAACCACAGCCAGTTGAGATTTGGCTCCCTTAACTGCTAAGGGCTGGCCCATGTGGTGTTGGTCTTTTTGCAATTAATTTATCAGATTAAGGAAATTTCTTAAATTCTTAGTTTGTGAAGAGATTTTCCTTATTGTTATTTCACAGTATTTTCTTTTTAAATCTGTTTTACATTGAATTTTATTAAGAGATTTTCAAATGATGGGCCCGTCTTACATTCTTAGGGCAAAACATTGATTTTGTCATAAAACTGTAATAATTTCAACATAGATTGAGAAGTTGTATGATGCGTAGGATGAGGAACTATACCTGGAAGCTGGACTTTCCGTGTTCTACTTTCAACTTTGCCATGCTGACCATGTGCTTTTGACTTTGGTTGGTGAAGCTAGCCCATGTCGCTTTGCCTCAGTTTCATTATATACATGAATGTAGATGGAAGTAATGTGGCCACCTCATGAGGTTATGACAAAGGTTAAATGAGACCATACAAATGATGCTGAAGTTAACACTGGAAGAATACACAGATGGTAATAGTTGAAATGTGTTCTAAAAATAATTTTAAAAAGTTTTTTAAAGCACCTAAAACAATGCCTAGAACAAGGTAGACATTATTGTGTGGAAAAATTATAAATATAAATACTGATTTGAAGTAATAACTAGAAAAGGAGGTAAATTCTCTTATCATTATTCTAATTATCATTATCCAAATTCAAAGAATTTCTCACAAGTTTCCCAAAATTTGTATTTCATTTATTGAATATATATATTTCAATATTATAATGACCTTATGAAAATAAGCAAATGATTTATAAATTCTTATTCTTAGGACATGTTTTTTTTAAAAATCAATGTTTCCTTCTAAAATGTATTTGATCACTATAAATTAGAAATATTTTTGACCAATTGCTTTATTTATTTATTTATTTATTTGACTAATACATGGTAAGACTTTCTTGAGACAGTGAGCCAACCAATAATTCTTGCTGCTATGCCAAATTATTTACTTATCTATTTTAAGCATTTATTATTTCTGTTTGAATCTTAGATTATCCATCTGGATTTTAACTTAAGTGGTGTAACTTTTCCTGACCCTTCAGGAAACTCATATATTATGATAGCAACTTTTTTTATGTTGGCGTTTGATGGTCTTATCTACTTGGTACTAGCATTATACTTTGACAAACTCTTACCCTGTAAGTAATACTGGATTTTTCTCTGACCTCTGTAATTACTTATTACATTAAATATTTTATTTAAGATTATATATTTAAAACTTAAGGATAAATATTTCTCATCTCCGTTAAAGAAGTTCTTTATTTCTATTTCATGGTTTTCATAGTCTAGAGAAATTTTATTTAAATTTTCTTTCTGACTTTATTATGTTGTAATTACAAAGTAATAATTATAATACATATTATAATTATATAGTACTTAAATAATGTTATTTTTTCAAGGAACCCTGAAAGTGTTTTGAAAGAGTGATACCTATATCTCGTGTTTGTATCAGAACAAACTGAAATAAATTAGTTTTTATAGTTTGGCTAGTGCAGGATCATTCATTATACCGTGAAAATGCTTCCTAATAAATATTTACTCAGCATCATTCTCAGAATTTTTAATATATTATTTGTATTTATAGGCATATATTAATTACCCAGTTAGTTAGATTTCCTTTTTAAAGTTTATTCTTCCACAAGAGTGAAGGAGGGAGGGAGGGAGAGAGAGACAGAAAAGCATTCTCAACAGCATCTCACACCATGATTTCCTCACCTGCCCTCCACAGCCTTCCCAGTAGACAAGGTCATGGCATATACACACCCAGGGTCTATGGGTCATCTGGAGGACCAAATTCACAATCTTCTGTAAGGATCCCACATCACTTGAGCAGTGCATTTCCACTATGCCACCAAGCAGCCCATGCCCAATTAGATTTTCCATATCTTGCGAGCAACCAAACATTTCACATCAGCCCAGAATTTCTTCACGCATGTTAGAATGACTTATTTTCCTCGCACAATCTTCTTATTCATCATTTTATTTTAAACATGCCTTCCACTTTGACTATATCTGTCTTTCATGTTTCCAGGTATTTACTTGTGAGTCTTCCTGTCTTTTTATTATCTCTGGTTTATATTTTGAGATGTTTAATATCAAATCCTACTTTTTTTAATCCAAAATGATACTGCTATATATTTATTCTTAACAAATATAATTTATCCATGTATTTTTCTTTAATTCATGTACTTTTACGTGAATATGTAAATTTCTATATTTGGTTCAATTGTATTGCTGTGGTCAAAATGGTTTTCACAAACATGGTACAATTATTTTTATGTGCCATATTAAAGTTTCATGGTTTTCTAAATATTTGGTTTAATTAATTCTTCTAAATACCTTTTAGAACAAATTTTATTTAAACTTTTGTCTAATACAATGTCAAAGTAATATCAAATGGTTAACTTTCATGATGTTATTTCCTTTGACTTTTTACTGTTTACTTCATTATCAAGATTTTTCCCTCAAGAATAAGAAGTTAGAAGGGAAAGAATTTCCCTATTATGGTAAAAAATTCAGGATATTCTGTACTATTCTGAATAAAGCTTTTCTGCTCATTTTATTAGTATTGCTGATCTGCTATCTTATTGCCTCTTGATTAATTAGATGGAGGTGAGTGCCATTATTCTCCAGAATTTTGCTTGAATTCATCATCTTGTTTCAAACATGAAAGGACTGATAATCAGGTCACTGAGAAAGAAATAGATTCTGAGCATCTCCCTGAGGATTGTTTCGAACCTGTAGCTCCTGAATTCCAAGGAAAAGAGGCCATCAGGTAATCACACTTAAAGTTATAGTAAGGTATCAGTGCAAGACTAAAGAATTATTAACCAATTAGCAGCAGGGTGAACTGGAGACGGAATATTGAAGGAGATGAAGTTTATTTTTATCATTATCACTTTGAACCATTTCACTGCTATCACTACCAGTTTCTCCTAATTGCTGCTTCAAAGGAAAGTTCTCTTCATCATCTACGTGTAATGTTACTTTGTCATGCTGCATCTTGTTTCTCTCCCTGTTTCACTACTTTTTTTGAGATTTATTTATGTTATTCATGATAGAGAGTACATGTATGCATGTAGAAGAGAAAAGAACCTTTGGCAGGGTTTCATCCACTGAGATCTGCTTGCCCCAGCCCTCTTGCTTGTCAGAATTTTGGCATATGCTCTGTGTGTTTTCATGGTAACCCAGGAATCTGAACCTGTGGTCAGTCATGTGGCATCCAGCCCTCCTGTTCAGTAAGCCACCAACGAGCAGTGCGACCAGGCAGGGCCTTACCCTACTTCCATCTCTTGTTCTCCACTTCTTTTTTATATTTGCCTTTTCACTTGCTGAGCCCCTTCTCCCATAATTTCATCTGACTTATATGGTACAGTAAAAGAAGTAAGAAATTTTGACATCAGAAATTCTTAGGTCCTAATGCCACACTTAGTCATTTGATGTGTAATCTTGAAAAAGCAAGTACATTTTTCTGAGTCTTAGTATTCTGTACTAAGATTCAATGGAACAAAAGTGGCATCTACATGCCAGCGAGTTGTTCGAGATATGGCATATGGAGTCATACGAAGAACACTTAAAATATCTAAACTCTCAGATCAGCCTTGTAATTCTGACTCTCTGGGTGTGGGATTATACCCAAGTATTAATGAATTTTAAGTCCTATAGATTATTTTTCTACGAAGTTTGCAACCAAGTTAAGAAATTGGAGTTTTAAATATTAACTCTATTTCTCAGATGTTCATGTAATGCTTACTATGTGCCATGCACACACTTGATTCTCACAAAAAGCTTATGAGGCAGGTACTTTTATTTTCCACACTTTATAAATGAGAAAAGTTGTTAGAGAACAACAGAAACGCCATGCTTCTAGAACACCATGGATCCATAAACTCTGAATGAGTAAATAAATACATGCTCAGGGAATGTGGCCTTCCTGTTTGCAAACTACAGGAGTCCCTGAAACCTGCCTTCCTTCTTGCAAACCACAGGAGGCCACTAGATAGGTGTATCATCTGATAAATGTATTTTTCCAGATTCCAAGGTGTTCTGTCCAGCCTTTGGTGTCATTTAGTCTTACCCCCCTAATTTATACTGAAACCAACCTATTCTGGAAATCCCTTTATTTTTCTGATTCTCTGAAAAATAACTTTCTCTAAAAAATAACTTTCCTTCCTTCTTTGCCCTAGTAAATCCAGGGGATGAGAGAGGTTTAGTGTGCTCATACTTGGTTTGACCTCTCCCTCTGGACTCACATCTCTGGGTCTCAAGTAGTTATTCCACACATGCATCAGGTGACTCTCTGCTGGTCAGAAGAGCTACAAAAAGTGACTTGCTGAAAGTTTCACTATTTTAGAGTTAAATTTTACAAGCAATAGTCAATTGGTTGAATGGGCGATAAGTATAAGTAAGAATCAGAAAAGAGACTATTTGAATGTCCGTGCTGCCAAGTAAAATCCAGAATGGTGAAGGAATGGGTTTAAGTGGCAATGTATGAGGTTCATTCTGGTTATGCATTTTTAGGGCAGTTAATTCTCAAACTTGGCTTCACATTAGACTCATTTGCAAAATGTAAAAAGTATCTCAAGTTTCATCTTCACCCTTGATTACTTAAGTAACTCAAATGTGAGTCTTTGAGAGTGGTTCCAGGTATCTGCTCTCTTTGGGATTCCAATTGCAATATGCATTCAAGTTTGATAATCACTGATTTAGAGCATTATATGTACGAGAGAGAGAGGGAGAGAGAAATATGAAGCAATCTAGTAAACCACTAGACATGGTTTCCTCAAGCAAAAGAATGGGGCAAGACTTGGTTGGTGTTGAAACCATGAGTTAGAATGAAGTACCACATTGAGAGAGTCTAACATGAGAGGCTGTGTAATATACACGCAGAACCCTGTGGAATACCAAGATGATGTGTTGGGTTAAAGGTGAGGAGCTTCTTAGGAAACAGAGAAAGAAAATTTCAGAAAATAGAAAGCAAAGTGGAAAGTTCACACTTTCACCAAGAAGAAAGTCATCACTAATGATTCAGAATCCAATAAGTAAGAATGGAACAGTAAGTGTTGCTTTTGGTAATTGGGAAGTCACTAATGATTTTAGTATGAAGAGGTTTGCTAGAGTGGAGGGTTCAGGAATCAGAGTACAACAAGGAGGAAATGAGAAGTGAAGTGATGGCAGATTTACAGTTTGTTTTGAGACTTTTGTAAGATAAGGAGAAGCAAGAAATCCTATTATATCTAAAGGTGAGTTAGAATTCAAAAAGAAGCAGTTAGAGAGGAAATCATAAAAGGCACAGGAGAAAGAGGGTCTGACAAATGAACAAGAGTTGGATGCAATGGGAAACCAGGATTAAGGATTGTGAGTAAATGAAATGATCTTGATTAAGGGGAAAGAACACCAAATATTCCAAGACTAGAGAAAGTGAGGGTATTTACAAAGTATTCTATTATAAGCAAAATAATAAATGATAGTTTAACTGCAGCTTTCTAGAAAGACTTGTATTTTCAATCTCAGGAATAATAGTAAATAAAAAAATAAATGTTAGTCTTTTTGAATAGACTGGTTATGCTATTCCTCATTTCACTTAAAGTAGTTGACCATATCTACTATTATAAGTAGGCTTATTCATAATCTGTGGTATTTTTGCTTCCATGTTGGCCAATTAAGCACCTCTTTTTTTAATTTCAGAATCAGAAATATTAAAAAAGAATATAAAGGAAAGTCTGGAAAGGTGGAAGCATTGAAAGGTAAAGAACACATTTTATGCTTTTACTGACTTATTATAAAAAGTACACAAAAATTTAATATGAAAAATTTGAAAATAGGGGTAAAAAAATGAGAAAAGAATGCAATCTAACTATCACCTGGACATTAATTATGATGAAGAATTTGATGTAAAATCCTTTCAGATAGTTCATAGATCTATTAATTTACAAAAATGAGATCATAAAATATACAACTTTACCTTGCTTTTTAAAGATATATCTACTATAAGTAATATTTTCTACCTGTAGTAGAAAGAAAGAATACCAAGGCTTGGAAGTCTGATCATTTTTTTTAATACTGGTCAAGGAATTTATGTAGTTTATATGTAGTGGTGAAGTTTACTAAAACAAGATGAGTAAAACCATTGCCCATGAATGAAATTTTATATCAATATGTTATGACAACATAGTTTACAACTTTGAATAAACAAATATATTTGGATACTAATGTTATAAAAAATAGTTTTCGTTAACAAACATTTAAGTAATTATCAAAGTTGCCAAGTGTATTTTATAGATGACAACTTGCTTTTATTAAAATAATGCCTTTAGGAGAAATAGAAATGATTTTTATAAGCAATGAAAGTCTTAAAAGCTAAAAAAGAAGGTTCATAAATGCTCTTTAAGGTTGAAAATTCTGTGTCATTTTATTTTCTAATAAGTGTAGCTTCCCTTAACTCAATCTTATTTATCTTTTTTATTTATTTATTTTTTGAGAGGTTTTTGCTTGCCAGCAAGACAAGAGAGATAGAGAGTCAGAAAGCAAGAAATCACCCTCCGGGGGGATGGTCACACCACAATCCCTTCTCCTCCATTCTCCTCTTGGGATCTTGGTCACACATGCACATGCACCTGGTGTGAGTTTAAGCCACCAAGTCCTGGACTCTAACTGTGGTCATGGTCGACTATATGGGAGTCCAGCAACGTAGCTATCTGCTGGTCCCAATCTTCTTTATCCTTTTGAGATTAGGTCTTCACTATTAGAATTTAATGTACATATGCAAGAAAGTTTACTCTCCCCCTAGTTTTTTTTCTTTTCCTTTTTTTTTTTTGACCAGTAATGACTATTTTAATTTTCTATTAAACATTCTTCCAAAAGCATTATTAACCCCACATCTCACTGAGTTATAAAAACATTAGCATTAGAAAAACTAGGAAGGTAAATGTGGATAATTGATTAAATTTACATGAAAAGGGAAAATCCTAACAAAGGACCGGAGCGCTTTATAAATTAGTTAATATGATTATAATCTGAAAACTAAGCAGCTCAAAGCAAACTTTACTTTTAATGACAGCATTGGATGACTCTAATATACTAGTTTTTCAAGAACACACGTTTTTATAAACATTTTTATTTTAAAAACAGGTCTGCGTTTAGCTACAGATTTTTTCCCCAAGCTCTGATCGTTATTTCTTTTTTGGGGATTCAATAAGGAAATACCATTTCTGAGGCATGAAATATAAAAGTTTTAGTTTCTTTTATAAAAAAAAAACACCCCAGTACAGAGTTTAAGAAATAGTAATGAGAAATCGATCAAGGTGGTTAGGTGCAATACTACTGGCCCTCCACTAGTATTCTATTTCTTTTCTAATTCTTCCAAGGGAAACTCCCAAATTGAATCCTCAGCAGAATAATCTTAAATATACTTTATAAGCAAAATGAGAGC